GATTTATGTCCTCCTCTTCAATCCTCTCATACCTTCCAGCACCACTAGCAACAACAGCAGCATCCTCCCGACACTCACACTCTTCAACCTTCCCTCACACCTCTCGTCGTCCATCGGCCAAGTGGCTATTGTCCAGCAGCCCTTCTTCACCTTCCAGATCATTGTCAACTCATACCGTAAATTTTGCAACCACCAGCAACACAATAACACACATCTTTACCTATCCAGCATTTGACAATTGCAACTGCTAGAGCTCCATCAGAAGCCCATTCTCAACCAACAACACCGCCAAATTCGCCCAACCGGATCGATATCAATTATCTACCAGACATGAGCGCGTCGTCCTCTACAGCACCACCAACATTTTCTACTTCGTCTTCAGCACAATGCACCTCTCATGTACCATACTCCACCCTCACCCCTCTCCTCTACTCACCTCCAAGTCATTTATGTAGCGGTCGTACCTGCTTCCAATGCAGCGCTTCCAATGCAGGATCCATGCCACCTGTTTCGCCATCTCCCAACTTCCACATGAGCCTCTCAATCGCAAAGAGGCTACGACAGGAGCATTCAAGGAGCAGTGGTTAGCAGTAGAAAAGGCAAAACTAGAGCGTTTACTCGACCGGGGAACTTGGACTTTAGAACCAATACCCAAAGGAAAGAAGAGTGTGGGAGTAAAACGGGTCTACCGGGTGAAGGTGAAGGGTGATGGATCCCTGGGCAAGTTCAAGGCTCGTTTGGTCGCCAAAGGATATTCTCAAGTTCCTGGACAAGACTACAATGAAACATTCGCTTCGGTCGCCAAGTACACCAGTGTACGCGCTCTTCTTTGCATGGCAGCACGGATGGATCTCTACATCATTCAGCTCGACGTCTCCAACGCCTTTCTTTCCGAAATTTTAGAGGAGGAGATCTACATGGCTCAGCCTGATGGGCATCACGATGGTATCGAGAGAGTCTGCAGGCTGCACAAGTCCTTGTATGGCCTGACGCAAGCTCCACGGGTTTGGTATCACGCATTGGAGTCCGCCCTGCTGGCACAAGGTTTCGCACAGTTTGAGTATGACCCTGCACTCTACATCCTGCACACGGAGGTGCATGAGGTATTGTGGCTCATCGTGTATGTGAATGACATCCTCATGGTATCCGGTTCCCTCTCCCTTCTCACGCACATCAAAGGTATACTTACCAAGGAGTTTGTCATGACAGACATGGGTGAGCCATCATTTTACCTTGGCATGAACATCATTCGTGACCGTCTCTCTCGCTCTCTCTTTCTTTCACAAGAGCGATACATTCACAAGGTCCTCTCTCGCTTCGACCAACTCACCTGCAATCCTGCGTCTACACCTCTCCCTTCTAATTTTCCGCATTCTTCTTCTTCCACTTCTGACCTTCAGCCCTCTCTGTCTGAACTTCTTTCTGACTGGGACGAGTTTCACGAGGCCCTTGCGCCTTCATCCTCTTCATCCACTTCTCCTTCCACCGCACCTCTTTCATCACTACTTTCCCCCTTCGACATTAACCTTTATCAGAGCATTGTCGGCAGCCTTATGTACGCATCCGTGTGCACTCGCCCAGACCTCTCTCATGTTGTGGGGATGCTTTCTCAATTCCTTTCCTCACCATCTACTCAGCACTTGAACGTGTGAAGCTTGTCCTGCGCTACCTCTCCGACTCTAAATCTTTTGGGTCTCCTCTTTCATGGACATGAGCATGGTAGTGTCTTGCATGGTTTTACGGATGCGGATTGGGCAGGTCCTCTTTCAAGGCGCAAATCCGTGGGAGGCTACATGTTTGTGATGGCGGGAGCTGCTATTTCTTGGCAATCGAAGAAGCAAGGCTGTGTCACATTATCTTCAACGGAGGCTGAGTATATGGCTGTGACGCGAGGAGCAAGACAGGCTGTGCGGTTGAGAGGGTTGCTGACGAAGTTGGGTCTTTCCTAGCAAGAGCCGACCGTTCTACATATTAACAACAAATCGGCAATCGCCGTGAGCAAAAACCCGGTCTATCATGGACGCACAAAGCACGTTGATACGCAGTATCACTACATTCTGTCAGAATATTATGCTCTAGCCTGTAGTGGGGTGCTCTGTAGCGAGTACAACCCTTCTAGGGTTTGCTATTTGTATCCCCATTCTTGCTAGTGCAACCCCTCTCTTTCGCCTAAACTCTCTTGCCTAGCTAGGACTCTCCTAGCTATGGCTCCTAAGACTACCGCTTATCTCAACATGGTATCAGAGCTTAACGTTCGTGGCCTGTGGGCCCACTTCACTGCTTCCGCTGCTACTGCTACTCCCTGTCCGCCGCGCGCCCCGTGGTGCGCGGCGTCGAAACTAGGGTTTTCAGCCCGCCGTGCGCCCCGAGGCGCGCGGCGGTTTTCTGCCCGCCGTGCGCCCCGAGGCGCGCGGCGGTTCTCTGCCCGCCGTGTGCCCCGAGGCGCGCGACGGGTTCCTGCCCCGTCACTCGGCACGTCGCCCCCGGGAGGCGCTGCGACGGGCGACGGGGACCCGCGCGTCGCCCCCCGTCGCCCGTCGTGGCCTGCGCGCGGCCCGTACACCCGGCGCGCGGCCCGTACGGGCTGCGCCAGGCCTGCGCGCGGCCCGTACGGGCTGCGCCAGGCCCGCGCGCGGCCCGTACGGGCTGCGCCAGGCCCGCGCGCGGCCCGTACGGGCTGCGCCAGGCACGCGCGCGGCCCGTACGGGCTGCGCCAGGCCCGCGCGCGGCTCGGACCGCCTGCGCGCGGTTCGGGAGGCTGTGCCAGGCCCGTGGGCGGCCCGTTCTTCGCTGCCCCTGTCCTCCCCGCTGTCCCCCGTGCTTCTGAAGGCGCCCCACCCCTCCTTCTGCCCGTTCTCCTGGATTAGGGTTTGGGGTTGGGGGGTATGGGGGTGCAGCTTCTGTGTGCCGTTCCCTGCTCCTCCTCCTCCTCCGTCTCCCTGTGCTGCAGCTGCCGCTGAGGGGGGTGGACCTGTTGGAGCCGTCGGAGTGGTACTAAGGGGGGGTGAAGGGGGAGTGGAGCTAGCGGTGTAGCAGCGGGTGTGTGTCGAGGGGTGTGGGACTGTTGGGGGAGGTTGAGGGGAGGTTGCCGTCGTGTCGTACGCAGCGCCTGTACTCCGGGGCACTCACTCCCGGTAGCTCAGAGAGCCGGTTGCGCCGTCGCCTGTGGGTCCGTTGCTCCTGCTGCTCGTCTTAGCCGCGGAGCCTGTTACTCCTGTACTCCGGGGCACTCACTCCCGGTAGCCACTGTGTCGCACCAGAGCCGTCTGTTGCCCGTGTGCCTGCAGCTTCAGTCGTCGCCTCCCATCTACTCTCCTCTCGCCAGCCCTCCTCCTCCTCACTTGCCCGTTGTGACTACCACTAGCTTTGCTCATAATTGTGAACTTTAAACTATTGCTTCTTAAACTTGTGCTCAGAATGTGTGGTGACATTGTGATCCACCCTGAGCTTGTACTGCTTTGCTTGCTCTGCTGATTACACCCCACTTTGGCTATGGGGGTGTGTCAGAATATTATGCTCTAGCCTGTAGTGGGGTGCTCTGTAGCGAGTACAACCCTTCTAGGGTTTGCTATTTGTATCCCCATTCTTGCTAGTGCAACCCCTCTCTTTCGCCTAAACTCTCTTGCCTAGCTAGGACTCTCCTAGCTATGGCTCCTAAGACTACCGCTTATCTCAACACATTCGGGAGCTGATTAAGAAAAAGGTTGTGACACCGACCTACTGCAGCACCATGGACCAGGCTGCTAACTTCCTGACTAAGATACGTCCACGGCACCTCTTCGTTCTTGGCTGCCAACGTGCTGGAGTGTCGCTCGAGTTCGAACACTCAAGCTTGGAGATTCTTCTCTACATAACGATCAAGATATACTATTCAACACTCAAGCTTGGAGATGCTTCTCCACTCAACATCAAGATCTACTATCCAAGCTTGGCCTTTTCCTATTCAAGTTACAAAGCTCCTTAAATATAACCAGTAAGGCTCTTCATAAGTAAGTCACTTCCCGTTTCATTCTTATCAAGTTTATTCTTTCTTCAAATTTATGTATTTAAGACTTCTTCATTCTTATTAAGTCTTATTTATTCTCAAATCTTATTTCTTATCAAGTTTCTTTATTTTTTAGCATCTTTACCTTTTCATCAATCGCCCGCTCAATATCTCTCTTTTTAGTTAATATTTCTTTTATTATTATTTTTATCTTCAACACTATCATTTTAAGCTTTATATTTCAAATCAATCTCTAGTTCAAGAGTTTCTTTATCTTATCAACTTTGTCTTACTTCAATCTTACTCTTTCTTCTAGGTGTTTTCTCTCTTTATACTTGCTATTTACCCTTCCTCATCCTTTTCTTCAATTTCAAGAGGATGGCCCGACCTCCAAGGGAAATTTCTGGCGAAACAGGACCGATGCCGTCGCACTCTGCTGGGAGAACAGAGCCTGGTCAGCCACGCCGCCCTTGGGATTGGGTGCGACGATCCGAGCTGGCAGGAAAAATCGTACGGCAGGTGGCAGAGTGGTCGGCTTGCTGCACTAGACTTCGCACGCTCAGCCACGCGCTTTTTGCACGGTGGGATCACAGCGTCGTGCCAATCGTGGTCACAGGTGAGGGCTGGAGCTGTTTTCCCGCCTTTTCTTTCTGCACGGTAGGCCTGTCCCACGTTCCCACGTGGCGCCTCACCACTTTCGTTTGACCGACCTTGTCAGACCTTGTGTCCCTCCCACCCATGTTACGTGCTTTCGACGGATTTCGGTGGTTTCTGGTTGTAGCGATAATTTGCGAGTTCTTTCGCGACAGCTGCGAAAAGAATTATAATCCAACCACCGTCGCAAATTTCGGATGGGTATTTGACATGTCCGAGGAGTGCTGATCAGCTCCACACGGACCCTCCGAAAAACTCCTGCGTTTCCCTGCATCCAAGTGAATGCCAGCAACACATTTTTTGTCTCCGCTCCTCCGACTAGAAAAGTAGCTGATAGCGCGTCCCGCTTTCAACCATCGCCATGACTCGCCATGTCGCTCCGTTTCTCGCGGCGAGTGTACTCACCTTGGCATTTTTCGCGTCTTTCGTGCCGCTAATTGCGCCGGTTTCCGCGGCGAAGCAGAGCGACTTCCCCGCCTGCTGGTACTCAGGCCTGCTGCCCGTGCGACCGAATGTGACTGTAACGAGGTGCCTGGACGCCGCGGAATGGACGTGCTGCTCCGATTGCGAGGACCGGAAATACGCGGTAGTGGAGGCGTCCACGGATGGACGCGTTATACTGAACCAGGTCTCGCCGGGGCTCGGCGACAAATTTACTAACGTCAACATGATGGTACGCGGCATAAAGTGACACTCGGTAGCACAAAGGCGACGGACTTTTGAGACTTTAAGGGTGTAGAAACAAGAAAATCTCGGCGGGAGCGATGAAAGAAGGCGGGCTGAACTATCTGCCGCGGCGCGCGAATATGGATGGGCCGACCCTCTCCTTCCGTGATCTATTAGCGCCCTCCACCCTCTCCCCCTCCCCCCGTTCCTCCCCTCCTTTCCCCGCGCTCACTACGCTCTCTCCGCTATGCTTCCCTTCTAATTTATCCTCTCTAATGCTCCACTCCGCCTCTCCGCTCCCTTCAATCACCGTTAACCCTCTGTCCCTCCGCCATTCCGCTCATATCCGCCTTCTCCCGTCCCTTCCGCTTCCTGCGCCGCAATTTCATGCCAGTTTCTGCCACTCACACGTGTGTTCTCGCACACGTGTGCGCTATTGACTGCGGTTGAAAGTCGCATGTGTATGCTCTCTCATTCCCCTCCTCTCATCCCCCTCCTTCCTCACCCCCCCACCCCCCCTCTCACTCCTCTCCTCTCTCGCTGCCCTCATCTCGCCACTCCCGAGCCCCGTCTATCCTACTCTCCGCAAACATGCGCACAAGTTCACGGCTTCGAGCAGTGCTGTTCCATCGTCGGTTTCCAAGTCTTCATCCACCCTTAGCCTTTTTTTCTTTCTTTCTTTCTTTTTTCCCTTGTCTCACCTCCCCTTCCTCTCCTTCCTCCCGCAGGAATGCGCGCGGTTCAGCGTCTCGCAGCAGTGCTGCTTCCTCCACGGATTACCACCGCTTTCACCCACCCCTTCAAAATCTGCCACTTCTCCCCTCTTCCCCCCGTGTGCCGCTCCTTCTCCGCTCCCCATTCGTCCACCCCTTCCGCCCCCTCGCCCTCCCGCGCAGGTGTGCGCGCAGTTCAGCGAGTTCCAGCAGTGCCAGCTCCTCCTGGAGCAGGTCGTGTGCGCCACGGGGTGCAACCCGGGTGAGTGCGGGGTTGAGTAGGGTGCAACCCGGGTGAGTGCGGGGTTGAGTAGGGTGCAACCCAGGTGAGCGAGAAGCAATTCGAGTTGGGAGCAGCTCGGGTTACCACTTCGTAGAAGCTAGGCAATTGGGAAGCAACGAGGGCGAGTGAGAAGCAATGATAGCGACTGATGGGCGAACGGCGGTGACTCTGTCTTGAATGCGGAATGCAGTTTGTGATGATCTGTAAATCTTGACTGTTGACTGAGCCAAAATCGCCCACCCTGCTACTCCCCACATTCTCTTTCTCCACGCGCCTGCCAAAGATACCAGCAGCTGCTGCTGCCAAAAATACTTTCAGCTGCTTCAAGCTTGGCCAAGGGACGCGCGTCGTGTTGCTCTTCCCTCACCCATCCTCCCCTCACTGACTGTGTGGTGATCTCACCCGCCACATCCACCCGATGCGCCCCCCACAGATTCGCGCAGGTATTTGACGCTGGCCAACGGGACGCGCTTTATGTTGCTCTTCCCTCACCATTAACCTTCTTGCTGCGCGCTACCCCCCCCCCCCCCCCCACCTCCTCCACCCCATGCGCCCCCCGCAGATTTGGTCGTGTTCTTAACCTTGCTGATCAACGACATGCGCGTCATGTTGCTCATGGCTCACCCACGAACCTTGCTGTGTGGAATCCCCCCCCCCCCTTCCCCCCTCCTCCCTCCCCTTCCCCCCTCCTCCCTCCCCTTCCCCCCTCCTCCCTCCCCTTCCCCCCTCCTCCCTCCCCTTCCCCCCTCCTCCCTCCCCTTCCCCCCTCCTCCCTCCCCTTCCCCCCTCCTCCCTCCCCTTTCCCCCTCCTCCCTCCCCTTCCCCCACAGATTCCGGCAGCTATTTCAAGCTGATCAACGGCACGCGCGTCATGCAGATCTGCAACCCCTTTTCTCAGACCGTCTACCAAACCTGCAAGGACCTCACGTGTAAGTGCACTCATTTATTTCGGGTGACTTCTGTAATAGGGCGTCTATAGAACACCTTTTGCAGATCTGCAACCCCTATTCCCAGACTGGCTACCAGACCTGCAAGGGGCTCCCATATTGTTAGGGGGACTGTGTTTAGGCGCCTATTTCACGCACCATGCAGGCCTGCAACCTCCCAGACACGTCTACCAACCCTACAAGGGGACTCAAGTGTGAGCCCCTACCAAACTTATCTACCATCCATCCACACATCCTTCGCTTCATCCCCCCCTCCCTCCTGTCATCTCCCTTCCGCTCCCTCCATCTTCACCCCCTCCCTCCCCACCACCTCTCCTCTTCTCCCCTTCATTGCCCACCCACCCCAAAACCACAGTGCCTGGCGTCGCCACACTGGACAGGTTCTTCCCAACGGCCGAGCGCTTCTTGGAAGATGTTTTCGGCGAGGCGGGCACGGCCTGAGGCACCTTTTTAGCCCCCCCTTCTCCCCCCTTTCCACACTCCCCACTCGTGCCCCACTCGCCCCAACATAGCAGTGCCTGGCGTCGCCACACTGGACAGGTTCTTCCCAACGGCCGAGCGATTCATGGGAGACCTTTTCGGCAAGGTGGGCACAGCCTATGCGCCTAAATAGCCCCTGTTCTTTCCACACCCCCCACCCCTTCCCCAACACCACAGTGCCAGGAGTGGCGACGCTCGACAGGTTCTTCCCAACGGCCGAGCGATTCATGGAAGACCTCTTTGGCAAGGTGGGCACGGCCTTTGGCGTCTACAACTTCACAGTCGCCGTCACGCCGAGCGACTCCGACCAGACCCAGTGCTACAATGGACCCAAGAAGCTGCCCCCCATGCCCTTCTGCTGCGACCCGCTTCCCATCCCCGTTGAGAAGTGCCCCGCTAGGGTTATGAATTTCACTGAGTATCCGAATATGAGGCAGTATATCAACAGGACGGTGACTGACAGGCAGTGCGATAAGTTCAAGTGCAGCAATAATGGCAGCGATGGCGGTGCTGCTGCTGGTGGTGGCACTAGCAGCAAGCTTAATGGGATCACATCACCTGCTGACTGTATTCCTGCAAGCAACACTGATGGCAGCAGCAGCAGCAGCAGTGGTGGCACCGATTTGAGCAGCAGCAGCAGCGGCGGCAGCAGCGGTGGGAGTTACTCGTCTGGTTCGAGTGGTGGGAAGATCTCCAACCGCCTGCATGCCACGGCTTATTTCAATGCTGTGGCGGTGATGCTGGCAGTGCTGGCACTGCTGTGAGTGCAGGGCAGTTGACGGCCGACATTCCCTCGCTTGTCCACACACCATGTATCATAACGGAGTCTGAAAGACGGCCAAAGCATGCATCACAGCGAGCGACAGCAGCTTCGAACGTCGCTTTGTCTTGAAGTGTAGTAATCCGAACGTAGAACCCTCTGCCTACACGAGTGGCTTGACGCTCTTATCTAAAGACCTTCATTGTGGCAATCCTTGTGATGACACTTTCCTTTTATTGTAATAATCCCATGTGAATCCCACTCAGCATAGTTTGTCTGCTAACTCTGGACATCACAGTAAATTTCAAGAGCTATCGTTTGGTGTAGAATACGTCATGGAATCTATATATATTTATATACAATGAATGAATAATCAATCCCTTGACCGCCCGCGGCCATAACGCCTAGTCCCTGAGCTACCTACTCCTCAGAACCACCACACCATATTCTCAGTTACTACCTTCCAACACATTCACACTCACATTCGGCAGAGCACGAATTACAGCAGCACAATCCTTGAAATTTGGGCACCCAGAGATGACAAGTGTTCTGAGCTTGGAGAGCTTGGTGATGGAATCAGGCAAGCTCCTTAGGCTGGGCCACGAATGCAGCTCCAGCCGCTCTAGCTGTGAAAGATTCTCGAGCTGTTCGGGAATCGTGCTGAGGGTGGGAAAGCCAAACAAAAGGAGAGTAGAGAGGCTGGACACTCGGCAAAGGGAATACATAAGTCCCTCATCCATAGTTGTGACACCTGGGCGATCCTCTTCACAAGAACAGTTAGCCGGCCAGTGGAACTCCAGAGATTGCAAGCCGGTACAGCGATGGAGGTGGAGCGAGAATTCAGGACGAGTAAAGATGTTCCTGCAGTCTCGCAGAACGATAGCTCGGAGGCTGGACAGCATATGGATTGTGCTGGGAAGAACCGAAAAGGCTTCTAACTGGCATAGGTCAAGACGCTCAAGGGATGAGAGGTGACCAATGCTCTGTGGGAGACGGCCGATATTTTCGCACTCCTCGATGGCCAAATAGCGGAGACTAGGAAGGTGGCCGAAGGAGCGCGGAAGGGAAGTAATCTTTGGGCAGTTTTGTATGAGAACCCGCTCGAGACGAACTAGGCCAAATACGTAAGTGGGAAAATTGCGAAGGTTTTTGCAGTCCACGAGCTCAACTACCTCCAGAGAAGAAACCGAGAAGAAGCTATCATACAAGAACTTAAGGGACGGGTTGTGGTGCAAGTAACACTCTTTTAGGCTCTCACACCGGTTGATGCTTTCAGGAAGAGAATTCTGGCATCCGGAGGAGGTTCTTGCAGTCGAGAATCCGCAGTTCTGTTAGTGTTGGAGGCCAACCAAAGGCTTCCGGGAATTCGTAACATCGCAGGTTTCTGAGAGTGACGTTCTTCAAAAGGCTCATGTGATGCAGAGTATAGTTCGGAAACTTCCAGACGCGGATGCTAAGATCAATCTCCGTAAGCGAAGTTAGTCCGAAGAACGATGGTGGCATTGTGTCAACCTCGTCGAGAATGTTGATGGAGAGGGACTGCAGCCCGGTACAGCTGGCGAACAACGCATCCAGGCCAGCAGTCGTTATAGCGAAGTGCTCTTCCTGATTGTCGAGCGCTAGATGAGTCAGCTTCGGACAAACGGAACCTAGTCCAGCGAGGAGACAGTCGCCTAAGTCGGTTATTCTGGATCCGAAAATCGTCAGAGATGTTAAATTAGTGAACTTGGAAACGGATCGGAGAAGCTCAGCGATTGTGATACGACGACCAGAATGGTTGGAAACAGCCGTCTGCGTGAGACAAGCCATCTGATGCCATTGTTTGCAGACCAACGCGTGGTTGAAACTACTGTCATTCTTGTCCCGCAGACGGAAGATCAAGAGAACGAGCTCGTCAGGTATATGGCCATACGATAGTACGCGCGTCATGGTGCAGCAAGATCAAACTAGCGTTGTAAGAGAAAAGAGCGAAGAGCGAAGGACAGTCCTCGGTGAATTGAGTTTGTTGGAGGCTCGTGTCTGCTGTGCTGCGTCGACCGAGAGTCTAGCCTCTGAGCAGAAGCTTCCGCTCTAGTTGGGCTAGAAGCACCGTTGGGGGGTTCCCGCCAACGAACCACAAAAAAAAATCGTTTGGTTACAAACCTACTTCAACAGATTCGGTGCCAAACCACTGAAATGCGGGAGACCTGAATTCTGAATTACTGACGCGAGGCCAGGTGCGCTGGTCTGCGTCGCGCAACGTTTTTCCGAACCACAATGTTGAGATCACTGGTTACCAGATTTTCCCGCAGTGGGTTTTGGACAATTTTCGAGAAATGTCTGGAGAACTGGCTGCTCGCGATCCATTTCCCACGCTATCCATTTCCCACGCACTAGCTTGTTCCCTTCCACGAACCACGTTGCCATGCCAAAAGTTCCGACTTCAGTGGTGTGGAAGCCATTGCTTCCCCGACCTCATACTCGTCCTCTCACATTACATATTGTTGTCGCTGCGCTGCTTCCGTCGCCCTCTCTTTTCCTTCCGCGTTGACATCGCTTCCCCGCTCGTGATCGCTCTCATGTGCTACCAGTGTCGCCCGCATCCCATCTTAATCGCCTTCGCTTATCTCCCGCCGCCCTCTCCCCATAGCCTTCCGCGTCGTCGTCTCTGCCATCCCGTTGCCCACAGTTTCCCCTCCCGTCGCCGTTCTCTCCCGAACCGGTCGACCTCGCTCCCCTTTTTCGACGCGTTCACTTTCCTCCCACCTATCGCCTTCGCTTCCCTCCTCGTCCCCCCACCGTCGACGTCGCTTCCCTTCCCCACCGCCCTCGCTTCCCATTCATCGCCGTCCGCGTCGCCCGCGCTTCCCGTCGACCTCCCCTTCCCGTCCCGTCGTTCGTCGTGTCGCCCTCGCTTCCCCTCCCGTCGTCCGCCGCGGCGCCATCGCTTTGCCTTCCATCGCTCTCCGCGTCGTCGCCGCTTTCCCTGCTATCTCCCATCGTCCTAGTCGTCCTCCCCCCTCATTCGGCGCCCTCGCGTCTCCACCCCGCCGCCCTCTTATATCGGTTGCATTTTGGGTCGACTTGATTATTCCCAATCGTCATCGTTACCTCATTAAGGGGCACTCACTTCCCCCCCGCGCCACCCCTCCCTCCCATCGTCAATGGTTACCGCCCCCACCCTTGCATCCTCCCTTTCTTCCTCTCCCATTCTCCCTTCATCCTTTCCCCCCTGCATCCTGACTCGCCGCCTTCCCTGCAACCTTCCCTACTGCTTCAATTCAAGCTCAACTCCAGCCCCTAAATTCGTGGACCAAGCAGACCCATCAGCATTGGTACAGAAACCAACTCTGATAATCGGCGTTACCTAGGGAAATAATGCTGAAATCCCAGCGTCCGTACAAAACGAAACGTTGATCACTCTGTGTAAGGCTTTGTTGGGACGGAGTGAAGAGAACCACATGGGCTGGGGAGAGGGTAGAGACGAGGAGAACAGGCCGAGAGTGATGGGCTGAGGGGGGGTTGAATGGAAGAGGGGGGCTGGGTGGGGAAGAGGGGGGCTGGGTGGAAGAATAGGGAGATTCAGCATAAGGTGAGGGTCCTGTCCTACCCTTCACTCAAATAAATCAGCAGCACATAACACTTCCCCTTCATGTACCTAGTATCGCCACATCAAGTCACAGGACTATCTCAAAAGGAGGGGATGCAGAGCAGTGAGAGAGGAGGGCCGTGACACCATGCCTGTGTGGAGAGGAGTGGGGAATTAGCCTATGAGTATATACGGTAGTATAAATGTTGCGCCAATTCATTCCTTCGTTGAACATATGCTAACACATGTATCGCTGCGTCAAGCTACAGCACTATTTCAAAGAAGGGGCATGCATGGCAGTGGGCGAGGAGGGCTGTGACGCCGTGGGTCCTGTGAAGCGTGAAAGAAGGCAGCGCAGGGCAGTCCACAGCATGCTGCCACGTCACCTCCTGCAGCCGCGCTGCCAGATGCTCTAAAGTCACCTGCACAAGGGGGTGTGAGGGATGTCACTTTTGAGACAAACTGTGGGGAGGGCAGCAATAATATGGACAAAAGCATTGCGCAGGGCAGTCCACTGCATGCTGCCACGTCACCTCCTGCAGCCGCGCTGCTAGATGCTCTAAAGACACCTGCACAGGGGTGCAGGCAGGGGTGCGGGCAGAGGTGCAGGCAGGGGTGCAGGCAGGGGTGCAGGCAGGGGTGCAGGCAGGGGTGCAGGCAGGGGTGTGGGCAGAGGGAGTGGGGGTCATTGCTGGGAATGGCACCTCCTGCACCCGCGCTGCGAGACGCTCCAGAGTCACCTGTGCAGGGGTGTGCGGGCAGGGGCGCAGGTAGGGGTGAGGCCAGGGATGTGGGCACCGGGGGTAGGGGCCACCTCCTGCAGCCGCGCTGCTAGACGCTCCAGAGACACCTGTGCAGGAGTGCGGGCAGCGGGAGATGCAGGAGTGAGAGAGGCGAATGGCACATCTGGGAGCACATGCTGCTATGCCCCCCCCCTACTGCAACCGCTTCAGAATGTGGGCAGATGGAGCGGGGGTCATCGCTGAGAATGAATGGCACCTTCTGCAGCCACGCTGTGAGATGCTCCAGAGTCACCGTAGGGGTGCAGGGGGGTGAGGGATGGGTGAGGGATGCGCGCGGGTGAGGCTTATATGAGTGAGAGTGGCGACAACCACACGTAAGAGCACATACTGCTGTGTGCCTTGCTGCAACTGCTCCTGTGCTTCACTGGTTCGACGAGTGGGCAGAAATGGAAAAGTGAGTGTTGGCAACAGCACGCTGACAGTGTGAGATCGACTGATGTGGCATTAGGAACCGCGAAAGGGAGGACAGGTGCAAAGACGAGTGTAGAAGGGAGGGAAAATACAGAGAGCGGAAAGGAAACAAAGCGTGGAAAAGTGCGAAAGGAAGGAAGGGTGCAAAGGTGAGGAAAGGTAGAGAAGCAGAGACGTACATGGTCATGGTGTGTGTGGAGGGAGAAATGGCCACAGGAGCACTCAATGGTGGCACCATGCATGCGCAGAGGGCGGGCCTTGCACAGCGGGCAGATCACCATTGCCTCCTGCACGCACGGTGACGCATATGTTTAAAAATAATAAGTTCTGGGACAGGATTGGATTGAAGCGGGTGAGGGGAGGGGCGACGGCAAGGGTCTGATAGAGAAAGGATTGATCGCGGCAGAGCATTCACTGGTATGCCTAATGACAGGCAGGGCGCAGCAGGAGGTCATATGGAAGCACGAAAGCACATAGCGGCAGAGAGGAATGGCAGCAGAGAGGAATGGCGGCAGAGAGGAATGGCCATACATGTTGGGCGAGAGTACCTGCTGATAAGCGAGAGTACCTGCTGATAAGCGAGAGTACCTGCTGATAAGCGAGAGTACCTGCTGATAAGCGAGAGTACCTGCTGATAAGCGAGTGCGTCCATGATCTGAGCATCCTCCATGCCCTGCTGGTATGCCTCCTCCTCCTCCATGCTATGATAGCCTGATGATGCTCACATGGGTGCGAGTGGTGGACAGATGGGTGAGAGTGGCAGACAGATGGGTGAGAGTGGAAAACGGGAAGCGAGTTACAGATGAGTGAGCCACACATGCGCGTGCCCATTCCATTCCACCAACGAAACCTGCACACACCTGCACACAGTACACTGCACCCAAACTTACTCCTGTCACACGCCACGCTGGTGTCTAGACCACTCCATGTGGACACACGCACACCACACCACATGGACACACGCACACCACATGGACACATGCACACCACATGGACACACGCACACCACATGGACACATGCACGCCACATGGACACACGCACACCACATGGACACACGCACACCACATGGACACACGCACACCACATGGACACACGCACACCACATGGACACACGCACACCACATGGACACACGCACACCACATGGACACATGCACACCACATGGACACACGCACACCACATGGACACACGCACACCACATGGACACACGCACACCACATGGACACACGCACACCACATGGACACACGCACACCACATGGACACATGCACACCACATGGACACACGCACACCACATGGACACACGCACACCACATGGACACACGCACACCACATGGACACACGCACACCACATGGACACACGCACACCACATGGACACACGCACACCACATGGACACATGCACGCCACGTGGACACACGCTAGTCATCCGCCACCACATACACAGGGAGGACAGTTGCCGGGCGGGCATCACCGTTATCATCATCATACAGCGCTCTCTGCACGTCCAGCAGCAGCACACCACGGCACCGCGCAACACATACCCGAGGGGAGGGGTGGCTCCAAGTGCGCATCATCATCACCGGCATCCTCATACAGCGCCCTCTGCATGTCCAGCAGCAGCGCCTCGTACTCGTCTGCACTCAGCTGCAACACATCCGCGTCCCCCCACGTGGAGCTGTCCCCCCACCTCCCCACCGCTGCCTCCTCATCACTGTCCCACTCGCCTCGCCCCCTCGCCCCGCCTCCTACCTCCCTTGTCCCGTCACCCACATCGTGCATCGGGTCACATGAGGACCACTCTTGCTCCCTCACACCCACTTCCTGCTCGCTCCTCTCTGCCATCGACGCATGCCACTGCCTTTCCTGCCCCAGTGCCATGCCTTGCCCCATCATGCCACCACCAGCACCACCAATGGGAACATTGCACCGGCCCTCGCCATGCCCTCCCGCGCCCTGCAGCCGCTGCAGCTCCCCAAACAGCACTCTCCGCAGCTCTGGCCGCGCCCCGCGCCCCTCCGCGCCCATGCTGTGCGCCAACCCCAACCGCACACCCCTCGACCCCTCATCCCGCCCAGCAGAACCGCCGCCAGAGCCTGCCGCCCCCGCCACCGCTCTCCCACACTCCCCCTCCCCCTCCCCGCGCCCCCCCATCGCCACGCCTTCCATGTGCTCGTCCCCCCGTACGCCCTCATCGAGCTCAGCCCCCCCTTCGCGCTCACCGGCCTCTCTGCGCACTCGCGCGCCCGCCTGCACGCCCATGCACGCGGGTGCTGCTGACGTGGATGGGTGCGATGGGCCGACGGGGAGAGGGTGGAGGGCGGCGAGGGAAGACGGCGAAGGGGTGGAGGAGACGGTTGGCTGGGAGAGCGACGAGGGCGAGTGGGAGTGAGAGAGCGAGTGTGAGAGCGAGTGAGAGAGCGAGTGAGAGTACGAGGAGGAGGTTGAGGTGAGCGATTGTGGTTTGGAGAGCGAGAGGGAGCTCGTGGACAGCGGGGAGTGGACTGCGGAATGAGAGGCGAGGGGCGCGTGCGCGGAGGCGGAGGGGGAAGCAGACGCGCGCATGTCCCAGAGCAGGCGGTCGCGATTGGCGCGCACGCGGTGCAGACACATGACGCGCAGCTGCGCGGGGAGGGGAGTGGGAGAGAAGTGGGAGGAGGGGGGGAGGGGGGGGGAGGAGGGGGATAAAGGGTTGGCTGAGCGAAATGAGCGGGTGAAAGTCGCATCGCACGAAGTGAGCCCATCTGCTTGAGAAAACGAACATGCGGTTCGCCAAGGCCTGACTGAAGGGCGACAGGCCGCGCCGCATTCATGCTTGAAACCCGCGGGTAGGGGGATAAACAACAACAAATGAAAACACAGTGCTGGGTTGATAAACGGAAAGTGGCGAAGAAGCAAACAAAAAACACGGACCTTCTCTTTCATGTGCGACCGTAGAGGTCCCTTAATCGGTGCTCTCTCCATACTGCGGAGTCGGCCTCGGATCACGGCGGGCGGCCACGTGGCCACGCTCGCAAGCAGTGTCGAGTCGACACTGGCCGGACGCTCCTGGCGCTCCGCAATTGCGACACGAAGATTATCGGCGACTAACGACCTAGCTTTCTACGAGTCAATTCTATTTGCAGTCGATGAGCTTTTCAACTACTGCAAATGAAGACGATTCGCGCCATGAAGTGTGTCATGGCGATGAGGCTTCATGGTGAAGTTGCAAGCGGATTCAAAATTTGAAACAGCTGAAGTGTCCGCTGTTAGCCTATGCGTTACCGAACGCTTTAAATATCACTACATAACCAAAGTAGCAAGATAATAATAAGATGTCATGTTTGAACAGCGCTACAAATAGGATAACAAGTGCACATAATAACAAAGGTGAAATTACAAGCTTCGAAGATGTTCTGGAAGCTTGGCAAAACATTGAGAACCTGTGTTGAGAAGTGACTTAAGAACCATCTATCGAAAGTGGCTGAATGTGGTAACAGTGAAGGTTTTTTGCTGTATACGACATTTCTATCAAATGTTATACATTGTCATAATAGGCTGTAGTGAGACGCACTGTAGAGGGTTCAGCTCTTTCTAGGGTTGCTATTTGTATCACCCACCTTGCTAGTCAAATGCATCCTCTTGAGATGCTCCTAACCTAGCTTAGCTTGCACGTGCTCCGGTGCCTTGCCTAGCTCGCTCCTCTCCGTTGCTCCGAAGTAGCTCCCCTCCGTCGTCGCTCTGTCGTCGCTCCGTAGTAGCACCCCGCCCCTGCTACGTGCGCGCCCAGCCCCTGCCATACCAGCGCATCGCCCCTGCTTAGCTTGCGCGACCCGCCCTGCCAGACCAGCTCGCCACCCCTACTTAGCGCGCGCCCTAGCAGAGCAGCGAGCACCACCAGCAGAGAAGCGCGTGCCCCAGCAATGCAGCGTGTGCCACGCAGCAGAGCAGTTCGTGCCCCTGCAGAGCGGCGCGCGCTCCTGCATAACAGTGCGCGCCACCCTACAGAGCAGCGCACACCCCAACAGAACGGCGCCACAGGCCTTCCCAGCCGCCCACAACAGCACTGCCCGAGGCGCGTGCCCCTCCCTAACGCGCCTAGGCCCTTAGCAGGCCCTTCCCGGGCTTTCTCACCGTAGGTTTTCTTGTCCTCCACAGCTCCTTCACTCCGTGCTCCCCTCCGCCGCGGCTGGAGGCCGCTACCCTTAGTTTTAGTGTACCTTTGGTGTTCCATCCTTCTCCAACCCTCCCGTCAGGATTTAGGGTTCTTTCTCCTAGCTCTCCTTGCTCCAGCCGTGCCTTACTCCAGCCGTGCCTTGCTCCGGCCGTGTATTGCTCCAGCCGTGCCTTGCTCCAGCCGTGCCTTGCTCCAGCTGTGCCTTGCTCCAGCCGTGCCTTGCTCCAGCCGTGCCTAGCCCGAGCCGTGCCTTGCCCTAGCCGTGCCTTGCTCCAGAGCTCCAGCCGTTCCTCGCTCCAGCTGATCCTAGCGTTAGTAGTTCCTAGCCCGGCGTTTCCTAGTTTTACCACTCATACGCCTAGCTAGTCTTTACCATGGCGTTCACTAGAGTTTTACTGTAGCAGGAATAGCAACAGCGACAGTTTCAGCAGTGGCGCCCTCGGCAGCAGTGGGGACCTGGTGATTTGGGCAGCGTTGGGTGCAGCAGCAGCCCAGCCGGCTGGGGGGCCTCGTCGCGGTGGCCGCGACGTTGGACCCTGCCAATACCGGATCCTGACCGGCCCCCGTGCTGGCACTGCTTGCTGGCGTCTCGACCACTCTACACTGCATCCCCTCGTTCTCTCGGAACTTGGTGGGTGTTGGATACCTTCAGGACCGTGGGATCACAGTCATTTTTCCTGCGCACGGGAGGACCATGTTTTGTACAGACGCTTCTACCGGAGCAGTTCTTGCCACGTTCACCAGGGAGCCCCACTCAAGTCTCTTCGTTCTGCTCGCTGCGTCCCACCAGGTGGCTGAGTCCGGTCAGGTTACTACGTCCTCCCAGGTAGCTGAGTCCCGCCAGGTTACTGCGTCCCCACAGGTTGCTGTGTATAGTCAGGTTGCTTTGTATACTGTGTCCGGTCAGGTTACTGTGTCTGGTCTAGTTGCTGCGTCCTGCTCTTGTTGGTCACTCTCTCACCCGACAGTCTTGTGGCACCACCGTCTTGATCACCCGTCCATCCCATGCCTCCGTAGCATGGCCAGCAAGCATCTGGTCTCTGGTCTCTTGCGGGTCTTTGAGTCGCTCCCCCGTCCGCCAGCGCCGCCGTGCACTCCTTGCATCGAGGGTCGGCCACCGCTCCCTTCCAGACCCTCCGCTTGGACATCTGGGGCCCAGCCCCTCGTGCTGGGCCCGAGCGAGAGCACATCTTTCTAGTGGTCGTTGACGACTACTCCAGGTACACCACGGTGTTTCCTCTCGCGAAGAAGTCCGAGGTCATTTGTACGCTGATCCGATGGCTCTTGGCCACTGAGGAAACTCGTGGTCGTCGCGTCAATTGTCTCCACTCCGACCGTGGGGGTGAGTTCCGCTCCGACGTACTTGCTGGGTTCTGTGGCGAGCAGGGCATCACACAGTCCCGGACGCTTCCGAAGTCCCTACATCAGAATGGGGTTGCTGAGCGCCGCATTGGCTTGGTCATGGAGATCGCCCGCACCTCCATGATCCATGCCCGATGTAACGCAATACCCTCTTAGCAGCATCCCAGTGCACCTTTCGGTGTCTACCGGGAGCAATTACGTAGCGAGCCAGGAGGCTGAGAGGGTATGTGAGGTCAGGTCGAGTGCACGTCATCAGGTACATGAGGCAACCCACAAGTCTGGATACGGACCACTCGGTTCTACGAACTCATCCAAAGGTGGAGCTGAGAGCGTGTGGCCTGTAGGCAGAGGAGTGGGCTGTGGCGAGGAGAACTGGAAGCCGAAGCGCTGAAGGACCTGGTGCACCATGTGTGAATGAGTCAGAGTGATGGTGCACCATGCTCTGTCTCGAATAATCTGCAAGCCAAGATAGCTACGCAGCTCACCCAGGTCAATGCAGGTGTGTCTCTCCTACAGCTCCGCCTTCACTAGGGCCAGCGCCTCAGTGTTAGCAATAGCAAAAACCAAGTCGTTGACGTACACGAGAACGTAGAATGGCTGCAAAGAAGTGTCGGTGCGTAGAAACAGCGACGGGTCAGCAGTGGAAGGAGCAAACCCAAGAGCCGCAAGTGTCATCCAAAGTGTGTCGCGCCACTTGCAGGGCGCAAGGCAGAGACCGTAGACTGGCCGCCGGAGGCTCCACTGGGTACCCGCAAGAAACGACCCAGTGAAACCAGGTGGCCGGCGCAGCCAGATAGCCTCATGAAGCCTGCCCTGCAAGAAAGCTGTGGAGAAGTCGAGGGAGTGCAGCTCGTAGTCACGCTGTGCTGCAACGTGCAGCAACACCCGAAGAGTAGTCATCTTCGGGGTGGGGGAGAAGGTCTGGAAGAAGTCAACTCCCTCTCGCTGACTAAAGCCTCGAGCAACGTAACGAGCCTTGAAGACAAGCGGAGAACCCGGCGGCCGCTTCACCCTGAAAATTCACATGCCATCGACTATGTTCTCCTCAGGAGGAGGAACCTCGTCAATGTAGGTGCCTGTGGACTTCCAGGAAGCCATCTCTGCATCCATGGCTGTCTGCCACTGAGAGAAGTACTCACCCGCAATCACCTCGGCATAAGAGCGCGGGGTAGAGATGTCAAGTGCATCCGGGTCTTCCTCAGGGCAGAGCAGCATGGATGCGAAACGAGGTAAAGCAGCTGCAGGACACTCAAGCTCAAACTGCCTGTCCTCAAGGACGTCACACCCAAGGGCGGACTCACCCCCGACGTGCGGAGGACAGATAGACTCAGACTCGGTAACAAGATTCGCTATGTAGTCGAGACGACTCCTAGCAGCAAAGTCTACTAGCTCGATGACTAGGGCAAACGCAGCAGTAGACTCAAAGTCAGGGTCAATGACGACAGTAGCAAGGAGACGAGTGACAGTAGGACTAGCAGCACGAGCAAGGTCGGACTCAGGGTCAGGAACGTCAGGAAGAGAGGACGTCAGAGGAGACTGTAGGGCAATACGATCTGGAACGGAGGAAGGACGAAGTACCATAGCGCGAGTGCCTGGGTAGGCAGGAGGACGAGGATGGGCGACACGACGAGCACGAACAGGTGTGGAGGCACAAGATTCAGGCTCACGACGCTCAGTCAAGGAGTCTGACCGCTTAGAGCAGGGAGAAGGAGTAGGCAGTGGGGAGCCAGGCAGCAACTGTGTCGACGGGGCAGACGGTGGACACAGGAGAGTTGGAGTGAGGCTAGTGGCAGACGGGAGACTAAGAACCTTGCGAAGGGCCGAGTCAGGCGGTGGTAGGGACGACTGCGGCTGCGGGTAGAAAAACGGTCCGCATGGTACAGTACCCGTACCGTTAGCAACTCCTCTAGCACCTCCAGCACCAGCAGAACCTCCAGCCTCAGTACCTCCAGCAGCAGCACCTCCAGCAGCAGCAGCAGCACCTCCAGCACCAGCACCTCCAGCACCAGCAGCACCTCCAGCACCAGCAGCTCCAGTACCTCCAGCACCAGCAGCTCCAGCACCTCCAGCACCAGCACCTCCAGCACCAGCAGCTCCAGTACCTCCAGCACCAGCAGCTCCAGCATCTGCAGCACCAATAGCATCTTAGCACCAGCAGCTCCAGCACCTCCAGCACCAGCAGCTCCAGCACCTCCAGCACCAGCAGCACCTCCAGCACCAGCAGCTCCAGTACCTCCAGCAGCTCCAGCAGCTCCAGCACCTCCAGCTCCAGCACCTCCAGCACCAGCAGCTCTAGGAGTACCTCTAGCACCAGCAGCTCAAGCACCTACAGCACCAGTAGCACCAGCACCTCCAGCACCAGCAGCACCTCCAGCACCAGCAGCGACAGCACCTCCAGCACCAGCAGCACCTCCAGCACCAGCAGCTCCAGCACCTCCAGCACCAGCAGCTCCAATGTCTAGGAAACTCCAAGCTCCAGCACCGGAGCGGCCTCGCCGAACGACCCACTCACGAAGCTGCTGCGGTGAGGGTGCCTCGAGTCGACTAGGCGGCTGCTGCTGTCCAACGCCAGGACCTGCAACAGGAGCACCCACAGCCTCACCACCACTAGGACTCGCAGCACCCCCAGTCTCAGCACCCTCAGAACCCTCACCCCCAGTAGCTCCAGTGTCCACAGTTACAGGCTGCAGAGGTGGCAAAGACGGTCGAGGCATAAAACAAGGAGGGGTCTCCAAGTGTGGAGAGCGGCGAGTGGCCGCCGTGTCGTCAGCGGCGGGGTCACCCCCCTTAGCAGGGCCAGAGGAGTCAAAAGAGATCTCCAGAGGCTCAACCGAGGGGGGTGGGTCTACCTGAGGCACACCTTAGGGAGCAGGACCATGTGGGGGGAGAGGGTCTACCGGGGTGGGGAACTGGTACCAGGAAGAGAGACGCCAGGGGGACCGGGTGGAGCATGTAGAAACAAACAGACTCGTCAAAAGTGACGTCCTGGGAGGACAGGACTCGACGTGAGCGAGGGTGGTAAAACTGCCACGGCGGGGCGTCAGTGGGAAAGCCCAGGAAGGCGCAGCGGAGAGTGGAAGGAGAGAGCTTGCTCGCGGTTGTATTGCGAGCGCGTCCCAGACCCGAAACGCCGAAGCATTGCCAACCTCTCCCGTCCAACAGAGTGTAGGCGAGGTCTCCGGCAAGGAGACACGGGGTCAGAGGTTGAGCTGATGCGTATCGGACAGCAAACGGCCACAGAAAATGGGGAGCAGCCGCATGGATCATGGAGGTATGAGCAACCTCCATAATCAAGCCAATGCGATGCTCAGCAATTCCATTCAGCTTCGGAGAGGCCGGAAGCGTGAACGACTGGACGATGCCCTCATCTCGACAGAACACCGCAAGGAGGCTGGACGAGAACTCACCGCCCCTGTCAGAATGCAGACGCAGGACCAGAAGGTCCCGCCGATACTGCCCGCGCAACTGGCGACGAGTAGCACGGATCTAGGGGATCAAAACACCGCGGACGTCTGCCTTGCTGCGCAAGGGGAAGTCCGTGGTGTAGCGCATGTAGTCGTCATCGACCAGCAGGAAGTAGTGCTCCTGGTCCGTCTCACAGATGGGGCCAGGCCCCACACGTCCATGTGGAGAGTCTGCAGAGGAGCAGTGGTCGGAGGAAACGAGGAGGAGTGAAGAGCGGCGCGCTGCCTCCCCTTGATGCTGGGAGGGCACGGCTGGGCAGGCGAGCGCGGGAGGGGGGGCAGAGACCTGGGAAGGCCAGAGACAAGGAGACGGGAGTGCATGCTACGGAGACGCGGCTGAGAGGGGTGACCGAGTTGGTGGTGCCAGAGAAGAGTCTGGTGGGAGAGTACCCAACACGAGCACGACGCAGCGAACTGATCAGACGCAGACACCTGACTCGACGCATCCACCTGACCTAACGTAGCCACCTGTGCAGACGCAGTGGTCAGGGTTTACAGACTGGACCCAGGCTGCCGAGTGAACGCAGCAAGGTGACCTCCAGTCCGAGAGCATGTACAGATCGCCACACATTGCCCTCCAGGGATAAAGGCATCAACCCAAATTTCCTGAAGGACTGCGTTGCTCACCAAGTTTGTCGAGAATGAGGGGATGTGGAGGCCTAAAAAAAAACTGCAGGGGACTGCCGGAAACGGGAGGACAGTGGAGGCTCGCGCGACGATGGGGCCCACAGAGGGGTCAGCAAGTGAGACTGGGACCGGTGCAGTAAGTGGTGTGACTGTGGCGCACTCATGAATGAAGCAATGAGATGCGCCAGAGTCAAGTATGAAAGTGTGCAGGGCCTCAGCTGAGGCAGCAGACTCACTAGTGGCAGGCTCACTAGCACCTGTGGCAGCAGTCTCACTTGCACCTAGGGCAGCAGACTCACTAGCACCTAGAGCAGCAGCACCGACACTACCAGAGATGCGTCGCTGAGAAAACCACTCCCGAGGCTGCTGCGGCGAAGGGGTCTCCGGCTGACTCTGCTACCGCTGTCAATTAACTCCAGGAACATATTCTCCACCATTAGGACGGCTTCGTGTTGGTGCAACCCTACGGTTTGCACTCGGCTTGTTGTCCGTGTGCGTGCATGCGTGTGTGCATGGAATGGTATGAGGGCATGAAATAATATATTTTTTATGCTTATATTAGTGTGTGCATGAGTCATGATGTCAAATGCGTGTGTTGAGTCAATAGCGAGTTATCGCTAGTCACGTGTTATGCGGTCATTTGTGTTTCGCACGCGGTTTCTATGTTGTCGTGTGTCTCGTACATTTCAAGATAGTGATAATAGTTACATTACTTTGTGCAGTGTAACATTTCCCTCGGTGTAGGCCCTTGTGGAGGGTAGTTTCAAGACCCTTCTTGGTTGGGGACAGTGTGGCACTGTTCCACATCACTGTACCTTGGCTCTTGGGGTTTGTAGGAGCTGGGAGTCATTCCCAACTCGTAACTCTTCCTAGCTCTTCCTAATTTGTGTTCCAAGAATATGTTGCTGCTATAGTGCCGTTCGTTCAAACTGATGTTGCGTTGTCATTCCTTAATGAAATCGTGCGATCTAAAATGCCAATTGTAGATGACGTCTAGACGCTCTAGGTCAAATTCGAAGCATGCCATTTAGAGCTGTGACCAGAACGCTATGAACGTTTGAAGCCGCTGTGCAGAAATCCGACTGTGCACATTGAAGCCTACTGTATCCATATCACTTCGTTGAACAACCCACTCACGAAGCTGCTGCGGCGATAGAGTATCCGGGTGAGGCAGTTGCTGTTGTCTACCGACAGATGTTGCTACGACCGTGATAGTGGCCATGACTGGCAGTGGCGCAAGGGTGTCAGAAGCGACTGTTGTAGTTGCACCTGTAGCAGTAGCGGCGGTCACTGTAGTGGCAGGGCAGCGCACGGCCTGTAGGACAGGGCAGCGTGCGGGCTACAGGGCTGCGCAAGCAGGCGGGCAGGGCAGTGCGCAGGCTGCAGGGCAGGGTGGTGCGCGGACTGCAGGGCAGGGCAGTGCGCGGGCTGCAGGGCTGCGAGCGGGCTGCAGGGCAGGGCGGCGCGCGGACTGCAGAGCACGGGCGCGCACGGGTGCGCAGGCTGTGGGGCGTATGGGAAAACGTCGCCTAGGGGCGAGATTCGGGCAGGGAAAAAGGCTCGCCTAGGGGCGAGATTCGGGCAGGGAAAAAGGCTCGCCTAGGGGCGCGATTCGGGCAGGGAAAACGGCTCGCCTAGGTGCCCAATTCGGGCAGGAAAAACGGCTCGCCTAGGGACGCAATTTGGGCAGAAAAAACGGCCAGCCTAGGAGCGCAATTCGGGCAGGAAAAACGGCCTGTCTAGGAGTGCAATTCGAGCAGAAAAACGGGCAGAACGGAACTAACGGTAGGCCATAAACAAGTGGTCCTACGGATGGACCTGCTCTAATACCATGTTGAGAGTTAACTATGCAGGATTGAGGTTGGACTAGGAACAAGGAGATACCGTCATACCCCGGATAAGCCCCCATGGGTAGGCAATAATAAAACAGGTTTTTTTTCAGTGTGTGGGCTTATAATCGAGTAAAATTATAAGTGCCAGCGTTTATAAAATGACATATATTTTTATATATTTTTAACACCAAACTGTAGATCTCGTGCTTGCCTTTTCAATCGAGTCGAAGTTACATGGGGTCGTCTGTGAAATTATCGCGCACGCTGGGAGATACACTCAATCTGACTCACATCCAGCTCCTGACAGCTCCTGCTGACTGGACCCGCATCCAGTGCAGGGTCCGAATGTGAAGGGAACTAAATCTGCAACACATTCTCCTGCTAAAGTAAAAATCGTTACAGCGTTTTGAACACTTTTTACAGTTTAAAGTTTACGTGCGCTTATAATAAACCAAGTCAGAGGAGTCCTCTGGGAAACCAAGGAAGACACAGGGGACGGCGCGAGGTGAGATCTTGTCCGCAGAGGTGTCGCGGACAAGAGCCAAGCACCCCCAGACACTAAACCTCGACGCAACACCAGGGGACCCTGTCCAAAGACTGGTCGGTGAAGCCCCTGGCCGAGAGACGCGAGGCCAGAGGTTCAGCTGGTGAGCGGCGTACCGAGCCGCGTAGGGCCACAGAAAATGGGGCGCGCGGGCGTGGATCATGGAGGTGCGGGCGATCTCCATGACCAGGCCTATGCGGCGCTCCGCAACCCCATTCTGCTGTGGAGAGTCTGGAAGAGTCCAGGACTGGGTGATGCCCTGCTCAGCACAGAATCTGGCGAGAATGCCGGAGCGAAACTCACCCCCACGGTCGGAGTGGAGACAACTGACACGACGACCACGAGTGCCCTCGGTGGTGAGGAGCCATTTTGGTCAGCGTACAAGTCACGTCGGAATTCTTTGCCCAAGGGAACACGGTGGTGTACCGAGAGTAATCGTCAACGACCACCAGAAAGAAACTCTCCCGCTCAGGGCCAAGGCGGGAAGCGGGGCCCCAGACGTCTAAGTGGAGTGTCTGGAAGGGCTCGGTGGCCGGACGAAGGGAGGAGGAGTGAGGGGTGGCGCGCAGCCGACCCTGGACACAAGGACCGCACGGAGGAGCTGGGGACGGCGGGAGTGGCGGGAGGACTCGGAGGAGGTCTAAGACAAGACGCTGACTGGACATAGTGCGGAGACGAGGGAGGGAAGGGTGACCAAGGCGGTGGTGCCAGAGGAGGGAGGGGTGGGCAAGCGACCGACACGAGCACGACGCAGCAACTACACCTGACACAGCAACCTGACTGGACCCGGCTACCTGGTGGGACGGGGGAACCTGACGGGGGTCGGTGCGGAGGGTGTACAGACCGGAGCCCGGCTCCTGGCGAAAAGTGGCCAAGGGGGCGTACGTGTCACCGTCCACACAGACCGCGGTGTCACCAGAAGGCTCAACCCAGACCCCGACGTGCTGTCTTTCCAGGGTGCCCACACCAACCAGGTTCCTAGAGAACGTAGGAACGTGGAGGCCGGTCAGGGAACCAGAAGGAGCAGCTGGGCACGGGAGTGTAGTGGCGTGAGTCGCAATGACCGGTCCCGAAGAGGGATCGGCCAGTGCTACAGGGACAGGCGCCGGTAGCGGAGAGAGAGTCGTGCAGTCGCGGAAGAAGCAGTGCGACGCTCCTGAGTCCAGTGTGAAGGAGAGAGACGCGTCCGCCGAGGGAGTACCTGTACTAGTAGCTAAACAAGATCAAACACTAGCACCTACTCTAGCAACAGGCAAAGATCCTAAGCTAGGTACAGGCAAGTACACAGATCCAGGAGCACTATAGTCAACATCAGCATACATGGCATATGACCTAGCATCATCCATAGTCATATCAAAAACAGCAATACCACGAGCAAGAAGCGTCCCCCAGCGTGGCGGCGGGGGAGCGGAGGGGCCGTGGTGCAAGCGGTAGAGGTCGTCGAGACGACTGAAGCAGCGTGCAGCAGAGTGGTCGGGGCGGCCACAGTACGAGTCCCTACGAGGACCCGTAAGGATCCAGTACTCACAGGGACCAACGTCGCGGTTGGCCGAGCGAGGTCCCCGACTGGAGGGGGCGCCACTGCGCCCAGTGCTCGGGGGACCCGCAGACCTCCACTGCTGCTGAGGGCCCCACTGCTGCGGAGGGCCCCACTGCTGAGGCTGCTGCTGTGGCGGGCAGTGCTGCTGGCCCTGTCGCTGCTGCTGCTGCTGTCGCTGCTGCTGCTGTCCAGGCGGTGGCAGCTGCTGAGAAGTCGGCTGCTGCTGCTGCTGCTGGAACCCCTCACCACCAGTGAAAACTCCACCGTCGAGAGGAGGGCCGTCAGGGCCCGAGCCACCCCCACCACCACTCCCACCACCTGCCCCACCGTCGCCGCCACTGCCCGCACCACCGCCAGTACCCCCGCTACCCTTCCCGCCCTTCTTGCCGGCCTTGCCACGTTTCTGTCCGCCAGAGACAGAAACAGCCGCCGTCTCCTCAGAGGCAGAAGACGTGGGGGTGGCAAGTGAGGCAGTGAAGGTGGGAAGCTGTGGTACCGCACACCCCTCAAAAAGACGAGGAGGAGGCGCGAGGAGGCAGAGGCAACAGTGAGGAGGTTACTCTCGATCTTCGAGAGAGCGGTCTCAAGAAGATCGATGGTAAGCTCAGTGGGGTGCTTCAGAAGAAGCGCGTCGCGGGCTGTGGCTAGGCGGTCAGGGAGGCGAGTGACTAGCCAGTGAATAGTGAGCCACATAGGGGCCGGGGCAAGGGCAAGCTATTCCTCAGTGCAAGCAGCGCGAAAGCGAGCGTCAAGGGAGCGCAGGTGGGTAGTGTCAGAA